TAACTATGAATCATCCAAGATATAGACCTGCAGGAAACAAATGTTTTTACTGCCGTTTACTGATCTACGTTTAATAAGCCGCTTTTAACCCAAATGGAGGATTTTTTCACCCACATATTTCTGCGAATCCACCCTTTCATCTCACAAGTTCGCGAACCCGCGTTTACAGAGAATTGTCAAAGATGCAATTTACATATATAGAAAAGGGAATGACTAGTCTTCATATAAAGGTGTAGACACATCGTATTGTGGCTGTTGAAATCTCTTGGGGCATATATTTATGTACGTGTGTCGGCCTGGTCTTTATGTGTGATTCTGTCTGGGCCGTGATGCTAATATGCACAGTATAGTGCCCTCTCAGTACCAGTTCTCCTGGCAACCGCGAAACGCAGCATCTCACTGACCAAGCTACCAATCAAATCTCACTACTCTTGAGGACCAGGGACCCAGCCGAATCTGCGTTGCATCCCGCAGTAGGAGGTTGAGGAGGAAACATGGTTGGGGAGTCCTTGAGATGAGTATAGCCATCCACTTCGGAGAGGACAAAAGCAGTGGGAATTAAGTAGTCCTGATTCTCCTTCAGATCATTCTCGTCGGGCAGCATGACAAGGGTGTGCGGCGACAGACTGCGATTGATGTTCATATTTTTCAGCAAAATACCACCATTTTCGGACTTGAGTGATGTATATACTGGCGTACTGATGTATCGATTAGGTGAGACTGTCCCGGCCTGCGTTGACTTGATCCCAGTGTTTTGATGCAGTCGAGGGAATAATGCATGCGAAATCCGTTCTAAAAAAGGGGTCGAAGATACAGAATTATAATTGCAACCGGGTAAGGAGTAAAGTGTGTGAATGCATCTGCAAGAAGGTTCGCACCTAGTCGATTATTTCGAAATTTTGGTGTGCCTCTGCAATACATTACTCTTAAGAATAATATCTGGTACCGGCAAAAACAAGGGAAACTTGAAGGACCAATCAGACAATATTGACGGCACACACAAGGGAGACGGGAATGGCCATCTTAGGCTTATTAGCCGTCGTCAGCCAGTCAAACACAAGTGCAAAACCAGGGCTCGAACGCAAGACCTTTTGATCAAAAATCTTAGGCCCTAACTATCGTGCCACGAGCTCGTTTCCATATGAATGTGCGTTAAATAAGCACACTGAGGGAACTGCTACAGACAACCGATTCACAAAAAAAACTTTTTTCAACCAACTTATACCACAACGCAAGGGGTAATAGGATTTCAGTATGCATATGTAAATTGAAAATAAGTGCAAATCTTTGGTTAGCATTTAAAAGACTGACGATTTACTTACTGTTGCTATATTCCGCTTGTGCGCCTAAGCACCGTGTGCTTTCATCTTTGTTCTAAAAATCAAACAGTAGCGAAACTCAGGATGATTCACAGTAAAAAGGAAATTTTAATGAAGCAACAGAGGATTCTGCAGTGAAAAATTAAGCTCGAGTAGGTATTGATTCCTCGCATTCTCCCTAGTATATGTTGCACAAAATTTAAGAAGACGTTGGGCTTTTTTTAATGGATACTTTCCTATCAGGTTATAGAACATAGTCGTGCCATTCTGCTTTGGGACTCACTCGCGGGCCCGGGCAGCAGTTACGCACCAGATAGTAGTTTAAACAGAATAACCTTACCGACAAATAAAATGGAGACTTGAAGGGCAATTTCTGACTTATTAGCAGTCGTCAGTCAGCCATACCAAACCCCAGGTGTTGCACTAAGCAAGATTCGAGCCCGCGACTTGGTACTTAGGAGTCCTAACCTTTGACACGTGCATCACATGCTGGTTTAGACAAGGAATATTTCGTATAAACCGAAAGGCACGCATCCCAAGAAATTTATTTTCATGGAAAGGCATCCTTTGGGAAATAGGTAGTTTATTGCGTAAAT